AGCCTATATCCCACTAGAAAATATGCCCTTTAACTCCTCCTCTCTCCAGGAAATGTGCATGGCTCACAAGAATTACACCTTTGCTGCCTCATGTTAGCTTTTCTGCTCACCAGCTGTGTCACCTTGAATAAATGACTTAACCAATCTGTACTCAGATGTATTTGCCTGGAAAGGGGCAGCAAAAGTGGTACCCACCTTACGCATTTCCTATAAGAATTAAATGACAGAACACGGGTTAAGGGCTCAGAAAAGCAACTGCCACGGCCATGGTTATCGTGACTGAACCTGGGCGGTGAGAAGTGTGGGTAAAGAGCCGGAGAGCCACGCCCACCATGTCAAGACCCAACCACCCCAGGATCAATGAGACTTTAGCGGGGTGGGGAGGGAGGGCTGAGAATCCGCCGCCGCCACCGTCTTCCCCCCGCGCGGGCCGCAGCCCCGGCAGGTGCGCCTCACCTGGGCCGGCGACGCCCTCCTGCTTCCACTGCCGCCGCTCAGCCTCCGTGGGGAAGCCCCGCAGAACTGCCCGCTCCGCGGTCCACATCACCCCGGACGTCGCTGCGGCCAAAACAGGCGCCAAGGAGGACCCCGCGGGAATCAACGGCAGAAAATGAAAGAGGAGGGGCGAAGGACGCCGAGGTCTAGCGGCGACAGTGACCGCAAATACACCTGCAACCCTAGAGTCCCATGTGCGAACCCAGACACCTGGAGGCGGCCATGACGGTAGCGCGAGGCATCCTGGGAAAATCCGCACGTCCTCTGGTCCGCTTCCGCCTAGGGGACCAGCCCCAGCCGGGGTACTGCGCGTGCTCGGGGCGTGTACTCGCCCCGGGGCGGGGCGGTGGGCGTGGTCTAGATCGGCCCAACTCTGAGGCGCTGATGCGAGCTGTGGGCGGATTTGGAAATGGGGGCGCCGCCCCCCGAGAGCAGGCTGGGATGCTACTCGAGACGGGGGTCTTGGCCGACGGTTTGCCTGGAAGGGCGAGCGCTGTGACTCTTAAAACTCTTTGGGGTGCGCGTGGACCCTGCTCCCAGCACGTGGGCCGCGTTTTAGGGTATCAGAAACCCTCCAAGGTGGGGGTCGGTGAAGCCCAGGTCAGAGCCCCCACCTTAGGAATGGGTCTTTATTCTCGGAGCGAGTGAAAAGATCTGGTTTTGGCTCTGCAGCTGCACAAATCGTGACTCAGTGGGACAGCTGCGGGGAAGGTTCTGGAACACAACCTGACCACTGCAGAAGAGTGGGCCTGGGGTGGAAGCAGGGAACCCGCCAGGGGACACAGTGGCCATCCTGCGCGTGCTGGCTGACCTTGATCCTCAGAGCAGCCTTCCTACGACCCTGAGAGCCAGGACCGGCCAGGACGGGCCTTGTCCCCGTGACTCAACGCCTGCGCTGCGAAAGGCCATGCAAGACCCAGTGGAAAGCTGCCGGGTGACACTGACCACACGACCTGCTTGGAGAATTAAGTGCAGCTGCTTCCTGAAAAGAACCTGGCCAGCACCCAGCTCCGAGGAGGAACTAAGTGATCATTTTGAGTCAGAGTGTCACTTTGGCCCATCCCGGAGTGCAGTGGCAACATCTCGGTTCACCACGGCCTTGACCTCTGGACTCACAACTCAGCCTCCCGAGTAGCTGGTACCCGTGGTCGCATCCCACTACGCCTGCCTAATTTTTTTTAATTTTTTTGTAGAGATGAGATCTCACTATGTCACCCAGGCTGGTCTTGAACTCCTGGGCTCAAGCAACTTTCCTGCCTCGACCTCCCAACATGGAGGGATTACAAGCTTGAGCCACCAGGCCCGGCCAGTAATTCTGAATTCACTTTCTTCCTCAGTATCCCGAACCACTCCTGACTGAAGGGAAGAGGGGCTAGGTCAGCCCAACCCAGCTCTGCCGTGGTCAGCAGGTGCCAAAGGAAGCCAGGCCTGGCCGTGAGTGCAGAGGCGTGAGAAGCCACGAAAAACTGCAGGAAATAATATTTTATTTTCCCAGTTTTCACTTATCGTAGAGACAAGGTCTCCCTCTGTCACCCAGACTGGAGTGCAGTGGCTCAATCGTAGCTCATTGTGGCCTCGCACTCCTGAGCTCAATGGATCCTCTCTTCGTGGGGCCTCCTGAGTCACTAGGATTACAGGTGTGAGCCACCACACCAGGCTCTGGAAATGATGCTCGACCGGCGTGGCCACCTGTTTCTTTAAGCACAAATGCCAGCACTGGCTAAGCTATTTGTCACTGGCAAATATGAACATCTGTAACTCGCCGGCTGCCACATCAAAGTCCCTCACATATCGGTGGCATACCATCGATCCACGCCGTGAACTTGGAACTTTCATGAAAGTTCAGCTTGGTGCGCTTTAAATGTGGCATGCTGGACAGTGATGGTGACTGAGTTTCCCTTCAAGCAAAGAATTCCGCTGATTGAGTGTTTGGGGGTGGGTTGGGAATGTAGTCCTGATTTTTTTTTTTTTTTTTTTTTTGAGTCAGGGCCTTACTCTGTCACCCAGGCAGGAGTGCAGTGGCAAGATCATGGGCCAGCGCAACCTTGACCTCCTGGGCTCAGGCGATCCTTCCACCTCAGCCTCCCGAGTAGCTGAGACTACGGGAGCACACCAGTACACCTGGCTAATTTTTAAAATTTTTTTGTAGAGACGAGGTCTCACTATGTTGCCCATGCTGGTCTCAAACTCAAGTGGGCTCAAGTCCACCTCGGCCTCCCCAGGGGCTGGGATTACAGATGTGAGCCACCACTCCCAGCCTCAATTTTTTTAAAGTAGTCAGTGGAAACGTCGAGCAGGCAGTGAGCTATCCACTCAGGACTCAACATAGAGTGCCTTGGCTGGGCAGTCTATTGGGGACTCGTGTCACTCTCTAAAAGTCTTTTCCTTGGGCTGATCTGGTTTCTCAGAAAGACTCTTGAAATCCCCTGCTTGGACGATGAGGGTCTGGCTGCCAGAGTTCCAGGCCCAGTGCAGTTGGAATGCCAGGCGCTTCAGTATTCCAGGCCAAGGGCATGTGAAGACCTCTCAGACCCCTGCCAGGCTGGTGGGGGGGCGAGGGTCCAGAGTCCTCCTTGGTTTAGACCCGCCTCCTCCCACCCCCTGCACCTCCATCCCAGAGGCTCCTGGTACACCCACCTCCTCTGTCTTCCCGGGGATTTTCAGTACAGGGAAGGGTTTGCCTTCGCCGTTGGCCATTGCCTTTCTGGGATTCTTTCTCAGATCGGCTAAGACAGTTCCCTGGCTTTCAGATGGCGTCTCTCTCCTCTCTTCCCTTTCCCGTGGCTGTGTATATTCCTGTAATCCCAGCACTTTGGGAGGCCAGCAAGCGGATTGCTGAGCCCAGGGGTTCGAGACCAGCTTGGGCAACTTGGTGAACCTTGTCTCTACAACAAATAAAAAAAATTAGGCCAGGCTCAGTGGCTCAGCCTGCACTTTGGGAGGCCGAGGCTAGTGGATTGCCTGAGTCCGTGGGTTCGAGACCAGCCAGGGCAACTTGGCGAGGCCTTGTCTCTACAATAAATCAAAAATGAGCCGGGCGTGGTAACACACACCTGTAGTTCCGGTTACTTGGAAGGGTGAGGCAAAAGGATTGCCAGAGCCCAGCAGGTCAACACTAGGGTGGCTGTGAGTGTGCCACTGTACTCCAGCCTGGGCGACAGAGTGAGACTCCAACTCAAAAAAAAAAAAAAAAGAAGACTTTCCATCAAAGTTAGATTATCCTTAGAACCTAAAGATTGAAAATTATAAAGTAAGTGGATTTTAAGACTTCAGATAAGTTTCAGACTGCGTTTGGAGCAGATCCCAGGCACTCTTTTATAAATGGGCTCAAGCAAGAAATGTAGAGTTTAATCAGAAATAACACATAAAATGTGAAATTGCCAGGGTAGAAAATGTCCAGGATGTAACTAGACATTTCCAGACAGTCTTGGGAAGGAACTAAGTGAAAAATCCACAGAATATGTCTTTCTATATGTAACAGAATGGGCCTTTGTAAATTTTTTTTTTTTTTTTGAGTTGGAATCTCACTCTGTCGCCCAGACTGGAGTGCAGTG